TGGAGGCCATCGCTATTAGGTCGGAGGCCATCCCTAGTAGTTCGGAGTATTTGTTTTTGCTTTGGATTCTTCAAACTTTCATCATTCGCAGCAACTTGTTTTGTCATTCCAGTTGCTTTGCCGCAGGCACTTTCGAGTCTTCGAAGGTGGCCACAACGGTGTGCGGCCGATGTTGGCTTCTTGGAGGGTCTTGAATGGCAAGAGTTGCAAAAATAATCTTAGCCTCATCAGGTGCTTTCAGAAAGACTGTTGGATATCCTCTGAACACAAAGTAATGTTATGTAATGTTTAAACATGCCAACAGTCATCCTTTTGAAACCGAATTGTGATCAGAGAGTGGCCCAGGTTTGTGGTTTGATATGGTGTCCGGAGGTATTGTGCCAAGGCTTAAATCGATTCTGTGAGAGATTGTGAGGTGGTTCCTGGAAGAGGCTGCAGACTTTCTGGCCAAAGAGCTCAGAGACTGGAGCCAGGCGAAGTCCGTCTCGAGGGGTGACACGGTGAGGCGGAGTGAGGGGCAGACCTTCCATGATTTGAGGCCGCTTAATGGCTGCAGTAAGTATCGCTGATAGCTGATAGATCTGATAGCTGGAAGAAACGAGCTGAGCTAGGGATTGATCACTTGATACGTTTGATCCTTTGTGTTGTATGCCTTGTTTGTGTTGTTTGTGACGACCTTTGGAACTTTCGAACTTGGAGCATTCCTTCTTTTCTGCTCCGCCGGCTCCGCCTTTCTGCTAGGCAGTACAAGAGTTGCAGCATGCCCGTTGCCCAGCGGATGAAGCCAATTCAACATCATCCAGCATATCCAGCATACATACATTAATAAATAGAACATTAATACATTGCTACTAGGTTGGAGGCCATCACAATTGAACACGGGAACGTCGCAACTTAGGAGATGGACGAGTCAGGTGAACCAAGAAAGCCTACGGCTCAGAGTTCAAGCAGCTTTTTGATCATAAATCATGATATATACATACAGCGATTTGCAATGGAGATCCATGAGAAGTGACATTGGCTTTCTCTCACTCCTGCAACTCCCCCAGTCCCAGGAGTGATTCAGTGCCAGATACATGTCTGATTCTAAGATGAACAGGCAGCAATCGAAGACTTTATTCTTGGGAAACCAGCTGTGAAATCTGATTGAATATATACAGTGTAGAGATGTTTGGACTGTATGTCTCTAGAATTTATAGACACCAGTCGGCCATATTGGATGCATGATGCATCAGAACATGCTACAGTAATATGTCCTTGGATGACAAGTTGATTATTCTTTCAACAAAAAGCATGCCATGATAAGTTAACAAAGGTGTTTTGACCTTCGGACCTTTGTCTCCCAGGTGATGATCTCTTTGACGTGGGGCTTGGACTCAGCAGTGCCTCGCGAGCCCAAGTCTCAGAACGAGTTCTGCATCTTCCAGAGCACCACGGGAAGACAGCTGCAATCTCATCTCATTCTCAACCTAATAGGCATAGGCATCAAATATCATCAAATAAAAGTCACATGAACTCAATTTACTCATGATTCATGCTTGACAAGATTCAGGGCTTTCAAGCGTGTGAAGAGCCCCTGTTGTTGGTGCAGACAACGAGCACATTGTGAGCCACGTTCAGGCAGCATCCAGGTTGAGTTACATAAAACTATGGATTCTGAAATGAAACGTACCAATTCGGAGGAATGCACTGATGAAAGATGATTAAAGTAGGACAACCATTCTGATGGCCATGGCTTGGCTGCTCCTGCTCTTGCTGGTTCCAGCTGCCGGGAAGACTTGCCCCAGCGGATGTAAATGTTCGAAGGGGTCAAACACTCAGATGACTCAGATGATTGATGCAAATGTTTGAAGAACGGGTTATTTGCAGAACGGCTGCTCTTGCCGGTTTGATCTCGAATGCCGTGGAACACATTACTGTGACATGGTCCATTCCGAATCATGGTTGAGGCCTGGTGGTGGTGATTGCGGCATGACCGTGACATGTCGAAATCTCATTGCTGGCTTTCCAAAAGGAGAGCAGTACCCTGAAGGCGGGTCGATTAGGATACCAGATGCATGCCTTAGATATGCGTTGACGATATGTGGACAAGTCATGAGTGGAGTGTATCTTCAATATTAGCTGTACTCTAACTAAATCATCCCAAGGTCCTCAAAAGAACACATATCATATCATAGGTGTTGTTTTGATCATAAAGCTTTGAATTGAAGTGCTCCAGTCTGGTGGCACATTCAACCGGTTTGCACACTCCAACATATTTTTCCAGAGAGCTCGCTCTATGCTGGATCCACCCCTTTGTAACAAAGGTATAGTCAAAAGAAGAACATAGCAAGATATAGCAAGACTTTCGGCTGTCATGGCTGTGTACAACGTTCATAGCATCTCCGAGCAGACTTTCGGCTGCAAGCAAAAGTCTCCAGCCCAGTGCGACACCAGCGATCGTCATGGAACGAGCTGGATGGATTGTGTGAATGGTGAAGTGCTACGGGCGAATCACGATTTGTATTGTTTCGGCTTTGTGTGCATTGAACTGGAAGGATTGGTCTGAGGCTTTCAACGCGTTCTTCGTTCATAAGCCCCACAAGTCAACTGTGTACACTGGTCAAGCCTGGAATCGAGAAGATCCCAATTGCCCCGTCTACGGCCGTTTTCAAGACATTGATGTTGTTTGCGTTGAGTGGCGTACTCGGCCTTTGGAAGAAGAAATTCCCATTTCCTGGCTGGCCAAGAAACTCCACAATTGGAGTGCCAGGAAGATTGTCTCAAAGAAACAGCCCCTTCCAGCACCACGAGACCTGTACCAATCTTCGATTTATGTGACACTGTCGCAGGAAGGTTTCTTGGAATTCCGGAGCTTGATTCAGCGTTGTATCCCAGGGGCTGCATCCCTGGCCGTGAAACTTCCAAAGCAGAGGTTCCTTAGGTGGCTTTTGAAGATGTTCATGAAAGATGTGAAGGACACTCATTTGGAATGTGGCTTTTGGCCAGAGAAGACAGGGCGCAATTTGGTGGTGCGTGCAGTGTCATATCCAAAGGGAGAGCTGCAGGGAAGATACCCTATCTATTCACCGTATTCTAGTTTTCAAGAGATTCTGCAGAAGTGGGACGGGAAGCGTTACAGTGCACTCCCTTTCCGAAGAGCAAATGGAAATGAATTTGCCAGAGACAGTCTTTTGTGGTGTGCAGAACAGCCCCTTAGGCCGGTATGAAAGGCCGATATTGGTCATGCAGTCATGCCTATTTCAGTCAGCCCAGCCTCTTTTGGCTCTCGTCGCACCGCTGGACCTCATCGAATTCTGCTGAGTGGCAGTGGATGGCAGTAGCTTTGGACAAGAAGCCGACTTAAATTCTGCAACGAGCAATCTGGAAGCTGCTGCGAGAGCTGCGAGCTGCTACTGTAGTGCGACTGCTGGGCTACGAGAAGATGCCCGGTGTTCCAGTCTCGCAGACCTTGCCGCCTGGGATCAAAAGGAACAAGAGCACAGTGAATGCCGTTTTGGAGTTGGGAAGATGTCTTTTTGTGCCGGAGTGCTTGCAGGCCTGGACTGCCTTTTCATCCACAGCCCAAAGCTACGGCACTTGCCCCTGGAACAAAAGCAGGCACTGCAGTCAAACAGATCCGAGTCTATGTCATTAAATCATCAAAGCAAGCCAAAAAAGAGTTTATTCTATATGTTTCTTTGCATAGTTCTAAATAACTATATACCATTAATCGCAACTCCTGAAGAAGGCTTCGAAGATGTTTATATCAGAGGGACGAGTATATGAGGATTATGAGGATGCCTAGTAGGGTCCTTGCTCCTAGTAGCTTCTTGTTACTAGTAGCTTTTGTATTTGAGGGAGACTGGTGGCCCTTTAGGAACACAAAGTCGCAGGCTGGGCTGCAAGCCATACCTCCAAGCGTTCGCCGCCTGGACGGCTTAGTTTGGGCTTCACGCAACGGAAACTAAGGTATACTTTATAAGACATACGTTCTTCGCTTTTTGTTTGCCTATTCAAAGATGACTGTTCATATGTGCCGGCCGCTGTAAAAGCGGATGGGCAGTTTCTATAAGTTTCTCCTGTGTTGACTAATTAGGACGGGAGTTTAGACAAGGTTGGTTTTGTACGGACATACGCAGCATGCCGTTTGTGCTATGTTTGTACAAGGGGTACTTCTCTCCAAGGGTCGACGCTCTGGGTTTGCACATCCAAAATACAGCATGTCGATGCAAACTCACACGTGCATTGCAGAGATCATCACATCTTCAAAAGCTGCTTCGTAGCCTGCGCAATGCAAAGCTGGTGCCGCAAGCCAGATCCACGCGATGATATTTTAGTTTGCGGTGTCATTCCCGCAAGGACCTGTCTGAAAGCCGACTGCGGCAACTTCCAGGTCGGAGCCTTCCTCGACGACTGCGAGTTTTGTGCCTTGGATGCCGCAGCAAAAACGATCTGAGTCTACCTATAGTCATAGCAATGGCCTCAAACCTAAGAGCGATGGCCTCCAACCTAATTAGTAGCGGTGGCCTCCAACCAAAATTATTGTACCTTTTTCAAGGATTTCTTTGCATTCATTCCAACTCCAGGAATTTGGAGTTCAATGAGTTGGAAGAACTACCAGACACTTGGCATTGCTTGGCCGGCTGGCCGGTTTGGGCTTGAAGGAGGATTGGAAGCACAGAAGGATGTGCTCAGCGTGTGCTCAGGAAGATGCATTCCAAGGGCTTTCCAAGCTCAAGGTCCTTTGGCTTACTGGAAACCATTATCAAATGGGCGAGAAAGGCTACAAAAAAAATGAAGGCGCCAACGCAAAGAGAGACAACTGGTGCGGATTGTCACTTCCAACAATATCAAGGTGATGCAAACAAGAGTCATGTCATGGATTTTGACGGAGGTAGCTGGAAACCGACTTCAGCATCTTCATCCGAAACTGTTCGAAGGGCTTTCCAGCTTGCAGGACGGAGTGCAACTTAGTTTTTGATCGTGAGTTGCTGCATGTGTATTGCTGCTATAGAGCACAGGTGTTGCTTTTGCATCACAACAAGTCAGATCCTTAGTTGCTGACAACAAGCAGTGATATTTTTTTTGTTCTGATTGCTTTCATTTCAGCTTTTGCCAGGCTGGAGATGCTTCCGAAAGATGTTTTTGAGGGACTGTCCAAGCTTCGCTTCTTGGCCCATTAGGTGCTGCTTCGCTTCTTTTGTTTTAGACACGTGGACGGAGGTGAAAACAATCACAGAAGGATGCAACACCACGTTGAATCTGTTGAATTTGAGGAGTGTTGAAGCTGCTGGACAACCCTTTCACACCGCCACTAAGCAGGCCCGTACTGAAACATGGAGGAAGATATGAATACTGTCCATTTTGTTACTAAATTACTTGATCTAACTTAGTTAGTTGTTTATTTCAATACCGGTGCCAGGAGACATCCCGCCTTCGATAAACTCTTGAAAGACAAGGTGCTGCAGCAGCTAGACCTCGAAGAGGACTGATAGACCAGCATGAATCATGTTGCTTTTAGATCCACTTGTAACTTAGCTTTGGTTCAAGCGGAGCATCGCATGGTAAAGTGCATCATCCCAAGATGCCATTTGCAAAGTGCAAAGTCTACGGCTGCCGGTCCCAAGGCTGTATGTCGTATCGTATCGTGCTTACCTGTAACAGTCAGTAAACAAATACATATATATATATTACTAATTATTTCTGAACAAGGCCTGCCAGGCCTGCAACTGAACCATCATCATCCACTGTTACAGGTATTAGGATAGACCCAACTTATAAGTGGACGAAAGGTTGTAAAGGTTTTTTAGCTGCTTAGCTTTCTTCGCCCGCAAGGACTCGGGCGACGCCTTGGAGGACCAGTGGGAGGAAACCGCAACATACCTATCAGATGACTTCTCAATGGGTCCCTTGCCCAAAGAAAGGCCGGCAAACGATGGAGACGAGACGAAAGGAATGGGTTTCTTGCACAACACGCAACTGCGCCACTGCACAGGCCCGAAAGCGAAGACCTTTGATAGAAAAAAGAGTGGCTGCCAGTGGTTGCAGTGACGACTTTGGGTCACAAAATCATTGATGACTTGATAATTTATATTTAATGGTCTTTGAGCCTTCATCACGGTTAAAGAGCACAGTTGCATTCTTTAGGAGCCGAAGCGGGATGGCACGTCTGAGGCTAGTTGGGACAACAAGTTGTCGGACATTTTTTGTGCATTAGCAACACATCGCTACTAGGTTGGAGGCCATGGCTAGTAGGTTGCAGGCCATCGCTAGTAGGTTGGAGGCCATTGCTATTAGGTGAATGAGAGATCTGGGGAAGTCTTGAGAGTCTCAAGCCTTTTTGCCCTTTGGCTTTTGTTGCGAAGTTGGGCAGGACGTCTTGGGCCTTCAAACAGGCTCGTCGCAAGGCCCCTCTTGAAATCTCAAGTGTCGGGGCTGGCTTTTCTATGACAGGCATGTGCTACTATCAAGGTCGAATCACAGATGTGCAACTGCTGCCACAAGTATTTTCAGCACAACAACACTGTTCCAACAGCCAAAGTATTGTTTTCAGATTGAACAACTGTACTAGTAAGTATACGTGCTTAGTAAGTCTTTGCAACTGTAAATCGTTCAATCCTGGAGAGGCTTCCGGGCTGCGGCTGTTCCACCGCTACAGGCGTGTTTTCGAGAAGTCAACGGATGGTTTCACACTTGGATGTAGTTGGCGTGTACACAAATCATCTCACTACCCGGTGAAAGAACATGCATCTAAAAGAATCGAGAATTTGCACCAAGATGCACCAAGTTTCCTTTTTTCTGTATGTGATTGCTGAATGTGCTGAAGGCATCATACCCAACACCCATGAGCATGCCAGAAGGCTGGTTGAGAAAGGTATGAGAGCGCGCAGAGGTTGTTCTTTTTCGCATCAACAGTGTCCTATGGGCTGCAATTCGTTGGTTATTTCAGTTATGTCTCTAAATACAATCCCAAGCAGCAATCTTTGTCACCTGTTTGCGTTTGCCGACACTTTTCATCAAATTAGTTATATAAATTTGCACAGTCCTTTGCTGTCCAGGACTGACCATTCTGGAGCAGCTCACATTCTTGGGATTCGATATGCACCCTGCAGAGCTGCAGCCTTGGCTTTCAACGCTGCGGTTTCTGCTAGTTGTTTGGGGTCATGTCGAATTGCGTTCAAAACCCCTTAGTAGAAAACATGATTAAGTGTTACTTTTCATGGGCAACATACATTATATATATATATTTGGCTTAGAAGTGGGCCCCCAGCAGACTACATTGATTCCGCAAGTCAGCGCTAGGTTCTATGATTGATATGGCCAGGATTTGCTGGTAGGTGTGTTTGTGCGTTGCCAAAGAATGTTTCTCCTCTTCTCCTTCTCCTCCTCTTTTCCTTCACACCCTCCCTCCTTCACTCACTCCCTTGCGCACTCAGCCACTCACTCAGTACCAGCGACTTCTTGCGCTAGCACCACGCTAGAAAACAGTGCACTTCGCAATGAGTGGTACACGGCTCATCTAATGTTAAAGAATTTTGACAAACATTATAGTAGCAAGGACGCTATTAGGTAGAGGCCATCGCTACTAGTAACAAGAAGCTACTAGGAGCAAGTTATTTTCTGATTCACGTTTGCTGAAGCCCTGGCGTATAGTCTTCCTATAGCCCACTAGCTGCAAGAGTCAAGCAATTGCTAGAAGCCAGTAGCGCACGCGCCAGCCTGCATGCTAGCTACGTTTTGCAGTTCCTTAAGTTTTTGACCTTGCTTGCTTATGTAAAATACAGGTGTTTCTAATTTTATTCTAATTTTACTATAGTTCAAACATATGTAGGAGACTTAGAAGCGAGCCCCCACCAGGTTTGCAACATCCACATTTTGGGGAAAAGGCTTGACAGCCATGGATAGCCAAGGATGCTCTTAGGATTTCTAGTGGTTTTGTGCGCGAAGGTGGGCTGCCAGAAGAAGTCTCACCCTGGAGGACGTGCCTACTTTGTGCAGAACAGCGTCGTTAACAAATTGAGACAATTGTAGGTTGGAGGCTATCGCATTTAGGTTTTAGGCCATCGCATTTAGGTGGGAGGCCATCGCTAGTAGGTTGGAGGCCATCGCTAGTCACTTCTCCTGAGCAGAGTCTCTACTGAAAGTATTTCTTCCCGATGAGATTTGTGACCAATCATTGGAGGATGCAGTGAATCTGCTGAGTGGACAGGCCAGGAAAACAAAAGATCCGAAACACATGTCTGCAGAAAAGGGCACACAGCGGTTTGGTTGGATGGTCACTCCTTGCGGTTTGAATTCTGTCACTTAGTCCGCTGGAAATCTTGTCGCTGCGTGTGGTTCGAGTGCATATACGTCCTAAAACCCTGAACCAAGTTATGAATTGAACCAAGTTATGAAACTCAATGTTTTTGAACAAAGTTATGGAATTCTATCCAGCTGTTTATGTTTGCAGTAGCAAATCGCACACAGACACGATTTGGCAGGAAAACAAGACTGCGAGGAAGGAAATAAGGAAATAGAGAAACGTTTCAAGTCTGAAGAAGAGGGAATGAACGTGTTTCCAGCATGACTCTTGGTGCAACTATTCTATACAACGGTGCCCTTTGGAGTAGACTTTCTAGGTATCACTCACTATAGTCAGTCTCACTACTCGTCATACCCGAACGCCTGTTTAAAAATATATATATATAACAAAACACAAACTTTAGAACCAACAGAAACTTAAAAGACAGGATAAAACAAGTCCAACAGTCAAGAGGATGTAGGACAACAAGAGGAAAAACACAGATGCAACCCAAAGACCTATTAATTAGTTACAATAGTTATATATATATATACATATCATATCGTTAGTCATATCGATTTTTTGTGATGGTATTTGCTCACTGCCCTCAGGCGTCGGTCCAGCTGTGAGTTTCACTGAGGCCTCAGGGGGCCTCGTTTGTGTCCAAAGACTCATGCTTTATTGGAAAGGATCCGAAGAATCAGGAAGATGAACAAACAAGTGACAAAGTTGACTTGTTTGTGTTTAACACGGTGGCAGGATCAGGAAGTTTTGCAACAACTCCTGCAGCTTTCTTGTGAAGCATGTGCATCAGACTTGTCCCCATCGATGAATCCAATCAACAAGATGTATCAGAGATGCCGTGCATCACTTGTGCCAGTGTGTTTGTCTGACATTTCTTTCTCTCCCTCCCTCTTTGTTTTCATATATTGCTTGAACTCTTCACTGTTGTTGCCTTGCCCGTCGCCTCCTGATTTACTCTTTTTGCCCTTGGCTTCACAAATATCAACTCTACTGTATGACCCTTTGCAACCCTGTTTTGTTGCTTTGACTAGCCAAATCTAGCATAGATCCATCCGTCCTCTCTGTGTGTGGCTTGCTCCTATCGATCGACTCTGGATCGCGTGATCCTGACGAATCACATCCACCTTGTGATTCTTACTGATGATGTGTGTTGGGTGCACGGATATCGAAGTGTTGGCACAGAATCGAACGTGACTTTTTACGATGTGGACAAGTACTGTAGCTCGGACGTGGTGCTTGGCGTGCCAGTTTCAAAGCTCGAAAGTGAGCCGAAACCACTCTTTGCCCCACAGCCAAAAGTGTACTGAGTATTTGTTTCTATTTTCTACACTTTATTTGCTAGTAGGTTGGAGACCATCACTAGTAGGTTGGAGGCCATGGCCATCGCTAGTAGGTTGGAGATCATTGCTATATATGTTGAATTCTGATTCTGATAACTGTGTCAGACACACACACACAGTTGCCTGTCGAATCCTGTTGATCATGTGCTTCTAATTGCACTATGTGCATCCCTGCCGTGTTGGCTTTTTGAAACACGAGTTTTTGTTTTAAGTCTGATGATAGTATCATAAGCAGTCATAAGCTGGCAAGAGAAGAAACCATTGAAGGGTCGAATTGGACATCTTCGAGCGGTTGCCACATGAGACTGGCAGATCTGCCCCGTGGCACAGTGTCCACAGCTCTGTGCCTTGTAGCGCTGCTGCGACTGCGAAAGAGCAATTGGCCGCTCCTCACCAGAGCTCTTTTGGCACTTCTCCCGGCATTCGCAGGACGGAAGCCAGGCTTACGACTTGATTTCGACTGTAAGGTTTTCGCAAACGTCCTCAGAACAATAACAAAGCAATATATCAGCATTTGCATATCAAACCTCACTTGTAGCACGTGCCCACTTTTCGAGCTAGCATGATATCATTTTGCAGTGAGAGCTAAAGGCGGCGAGCTTGAGTTTGGCAAATACCTCCAAAATTGCAGCTTGTCAGTCAAGTTACCAAGACTGTAGAAAGCAATTGGAGATGTCGCACGTTGCAAACCCTGCAAAACGGGAAGAGGAAAAAACAAAAGCACAATACATACACTCCCACACTTGATATACCGATATATTTTTCTATATACTATGCGGTTGTGTATGTGTAAGTATTGGCACAGTTTGCAAGCACAATGGTCACCAATGGTCAACTGCAGCCGATCAACGCATCTCAGCCACAGGACGCTGTGTGTTGGCTTGGCGACGATGGCTCTTGGCCTGTGGCAGGCATCCGGGCACAGCGCCGCAGCGGGCGTTGTGCTTCAACCCGAGTTTGAGAGTGACAGACTTTGAGGAGCGCTTCGTGGGAACCAAGTCCAGTCTCTTGGAACCAAACACGGACGGACTGACACCTTTCCTTACTTCTTGTTTCCAATAGCTTCTTGTTACTACTAGTAAGGCACTTGTTACTAGAAGCGATGCACTTGTTCCTAGTAGCTTCTTGTTTCTAATAGCGTTGATGAATGTTTTGTTCGAAACTAAAGCTGTCTGTTTGTAATAATTGAAAGAGCACACAACACATATGTTTCTTTTGCAAGGAGAGAGTCACCCCATGTCAACCTTTGACTTGAGACCTCTTCACTGCTGATTTTGTTTGGTTTTGCCCCAACTCTAGAAAAGTTCTTTAAGACTGACAAGTCAGCATAAGTCAGCTATATATTCAGCTTAGGCCTGAAGCATTCCTATGATTTCATCGTTGTGGGTTCCGGCAGTTCTGGCTGTGCATGCGCTGCTCGGTTGGCCCAAACAGGTGCTTCTGTGCTTCTGATTGAGGCTGGAGGCGAAGCACATCGATGTGCGCTGACTCAGACGGCTCGGAATGCATTTCGATGTTGGCAATCAGAGATCGATTGGGGTTTTCGAACAACACCACAACAGCACTTGTTGCCCAGAGGTCGGGTGCTCGACCTTGAGCGTGGGAAGACCACCGGTGGCTCTAGCGCCATCAATTACAATCTTTGGGTGCATGGTGCTCCACAAGATTTTGATCGTTGGGCAGAACAGTATGGTTGCAAGGGGTGGAGTTACAAAGAAGTTTTGCCTCATTTCAAATCGATTGAGAAAGTCACTGGCTCCTACGGAGATTCACGCGGAAAGGAGGGTCCTGTAGCTGTGGCAGAGTTGTTCCCTCCACTGCCCGAAGTGGAAGACTTTATAAAGGCTTGCGAAGAACATGCTGACGCTCAACGAACGTTGGACTACAATGCTGGACAACTGTCGGGAGTGGCACCTGTACAATTGTGTACAAATGGTTCCGGTGGAGGACGTCAAGATTGTTTCTCCGTCTTTGTAGAGCCTTTGCTTCGAGAGTTTCCGACCTTCCAAGTTGCAAGTGAGAGTTTTTGTAGAAAAGTGTTGCTCGAACAGTCTAATCTTCAAGCGAGAGGTGTTGAGCTGGAACTGCGAACGGGCGAAATCCTTCAAATTCAATGCCGAAAGGAAGTGATTTTGAGCGCTGGAGCCTTGCTTTCTCCGCAACTCTTAATGCTGTCGGGGATTGGAGATGAACATCATTTGCGAAAGCACGGTATCGAATGCCTTCGCCACCTACCAGCCGTGGGAAGGAACCTCTCTGATCATGCAATCATCCCAGTGTTGGCACAGATGACCGAAGGTTCGAAATTCTTGGGAAACCGCGTTCGAAATTCTTGCGGAACTCATGGTGTTTACTTCTGGCAGTCAAACATTGGCAAGAGCCGTGAGGAGCGGCTTGGAAGGTCAATGGGCAGCGACTTGGAAACCATTTTTAACTCACGCATTGAGCTCAGCCTCTATCCAAAAGCATCTAGGCAGAATGTTGGGCAATTTGTTGTTCTCATTTGTCTCGGATCTATTGTGTTGTTCCTTTGGTTTTAGAGATGCCGCCAGACAATATGGATGCTTTTGAAAGGTCCTTGTAAAGTCAAGAAAACCACTTAGGCTATCTCTGATGAAAACAAAAACTTGAAAAAACATCGCAATAAAAAAGCACCAAAAAAAACGCGAACAAAAAAGCAAAAACAATGCACATGAAAAGACAAAACGCGAAAAGCGGAAAAAAACAACCACAATGCAATGAACAAGCAAAAATCGAACACACAGAAAAAAAAATCAAAAATAACAAACAACAAGCGAAAACAAAAAAAACAAACAAAAAGACAGACAAAATGCAGGCAAGCAAAAAAAAAAAAAGAAACCGTGGAAAATTGCTTTCGCTTTTTGGACTTGCTTTTTCGATGTGTTTTTTGTGTTTGCTTTTTCATTTGCTTTTTTTGCTTTTTGGATTTGCTTCTTTTTGCTTTTGCTTTTTGGAGTTGTTTTTGTTGCTTTGTTTTTTGCATTTTTTACATTTTCAAGATTCACAGAGAGTTATCCTGGGTCCGGCGATGTTAATTGTAAAGTTTTGCCCAGATGTTGTTGTCCTGTTTCCGTTGCAAGTGTTTTTTTTTGGTATTTGCACAACAAGGGCTTTCATTTTGTCACCACTGGCTGCTTTGCATTGCTTTCCTACATTTGCCCAGGTAACAGTTCATGAATTGGGTGGTTTCCTCTCCAAGTGGATTGCCGACTATCGCTCCTCTTTCTTCTGCCGGTTTTTGGCAGACCTTGCTGTACAGTGGGGACACTTTATGGAAAGCACATCCCACGGCAATGAAGCTTTCGCAAGATCTTTGGAGGCCACGTTTCTAGCTGCATTTGTAGGTGAGGTCAGAAACAATACTTCAGAGCCTAGCCGTTCCTCTTTGGTCGCAGAGAAATCGAGTCAATCAGTCAGCCAATCCCCAAAGAAAAACGCATTCAACTTTTGAATTTGCTTCGCCTTTCTCTGTCAGCTCATGACGATCTCCAACCATCCACAGAGTCGAGGCGCTCCCAATCTGAACATGTCGCCTATTCTTGTTCGCCTATGATGTGTTTCTCAACCATGTCTTGTGTTGGCTCTGATTTGTTTCTACTTGTTTTCCTCTCTCTCTCTCTCAGCACTCAGCACTGTGTGTGTGTGCACCTTTCATCGTGTTTTCTATGTTTTAGATGTATAATATGTGTTTTCCTTGCTTCAACCAGGCTCCGTGTCACTGCAAAGCTCAGATCCTCATGTCTTGCCCGTGGTAGATCCCAACTACTTCTCTGAAAAGGAGGATGTGGATGCCATGGTGGAAGCCTTCAGGCCTTGAATTGTAGCCACAAATTACATGTCCAATTTAAGTTGAGTCAAAAGCCATGTCAGATGCACTTTCATTCGCGATTTACGGCTAGACAGCTCAGGCGGATGATGCGCATTTTTGCTGCCCCTTCTTTTGCAAAATATCTTGAGAAATTTCATCCATCGACTCCAAGAGCAGACGCTGGTGAGGCATGGCGGCATGCTTCTGTGGACGCCGCTACGAAATACGATTTCTTCACACATTTCACGTTTCTACATTGATCCTAGGGTAATTCGCCTTTTCCGATGGTGACTGCGTTGCAGCGCAGGCTGAGATTAGTGACTATGTGCGGAGCAGTTCCAGGACGACTTGGCACTACTCCTGCACCACTCGGATGGGCATCACAGAGAAAGACTCGGTCTGCGATCCGGAAGGTCGAGTGCATGGGGTTCCTCGTCTCCTTTTTTGGTCTCAATGAGTGCTTTCACAATATTTTTCGAAGAGAAGGTAGCCAAAATAGATCAAAATAGCGAACCATGCCATGGTTGAACAATTCTTTTTTTTAAACAAATCGAGCCTAGGTGAAGAATCTTCGAGTAGCTGACGCAGGCGCTTGTGTAGTTCGGATTGACTCTGAGAGTTTACTAGTAGCGTCCTTGCTCCTAGTAGTATGGCCAGGAGCTACTAGTAGCGTCCTCGTTGGAATCCGTTGGAATCCTTTTGCCAGGTCTTATGCCCGAAGTGGTTAGTGGAAATACGCACGCAGCGTGCCTTAGGCAGAAAATGAGTTTGTGGCTCAACCTTGCCTACGCACACCAGTCCAAACCTGGCATCCAACCTTCAAAGGTGCGTGATGATTGGAGATCGAAGCTTGGCAAGCCCAACAGTAATCATGAATTCATTTGCAATTCATCCGAATTCCTTTTGAAGCGGCCTTAAAGGAGCAACATCAGATCAACTTGCTTGCTTGTGTGCCAGCTTCTTTGTCTTGCTGGTTGGGGTATGTTGGAGTGACCATGATAAGACAAACCGGTTATAGTTATCTGAATTATATGAATATTTTTCAGAGTGTGTGCCTTCTTGTAGACTCAGCTTTCCTGGGGCTCCTGCACTACCCCTTGACATGCAGTGCAATACTTGTTATTTAATATAGGCTCGATCTGCTTTATCTCGAACGAACTTTGCACGCGGCCCATCCGTTTCAGGAGTTGGCTTCCTGATCGCTTCAGAACATTCGATGGGCAAAGGGCGATAAAACAAGGGTTCCGGGGGCTTGATCTTTTGCTTGGCAGCTTGATCTTTTGCTTGAACACGAAATCAACGAAATGAGTCGGTTCCAACATGTTCCTTACTTCGTTTTTCTACCATCATGAGCAGTGGCAACCCTTCTCTTGAGAAGGGTTGCCACTGCGAAATCCACAGAAACTACAGGACTGAAACTTCTTGCGCTTCTTCTGTTTGAAGATCTCATCACTCCGAATCTAAAAGTTTGCATTTCGGTTTCACATCATCAGAACCTGGTATCGCATAGATTCCATCTCAGCTAAATACAATAGCTCCAAGGCTCGTGCAACCAAATCATGGGACTTGTGCCAGGGTGCTAGCGCTTCAAAGTGTGTTAATTAACTTATTATCCTTTTCTGTGTCAGACGTGCTCCTTAAGCAGGCCTTAGATGTTTTATGTGTTTTCGCCCGATCAAGTTTGCGCAAATCAAGTGTGCTTCTCAGAGTGCCCTCCAGCATGCTCCTTGCATGTGCAGAGTCGCGATGTTTTTGTTTTCCAAAGCAACTGACAGCGCCCGGTGATTTGCCAGAATAGGTTGTGGGCAGTCGGCATTACGCACACACTGCAGGCCACAGATGGGCCGGGAATTTGCTAATGAAGCAAAGCTGAACAAACAGTGGAAGCTACTGAGAGCATAAGCCTGCGGATGGTCATGGAAGACAGCATGTATTCGCACCATTGCGAAATGAATGGAACGTCGGAACGTCCGACTGAAAGGCCAGGGATAGCCGGCTTGATTCGTTCGCTTTTCACAGACGAAGTACTTCACAGCTTGCGCACTTGAACCCACTTCGAATTTGGCTGAATTTGTCAGCGGAAAGGTCAGATCGCAAGTCACAACACGTGCCTTGAGCCACATCCGGCCACTCCAACAGCATGCCAAAAGCAAGCAAAATAATTAAGCGTTCTAGTCCCTCTTGAGGGCTTTCCAGGTGGAACGGTGCCACATGTCACGCGGCGACATGTGGCATTCAGCAGGATCAAGATTCGATAATTCGATATGTGTCCGATGTTCTTTGTCGCTTTTAAGTGTATCATTTTGTATCTATATACATGAGTCTTTGTGCTTCAACAATTTTAGCCACTTCGTACTTGGCCGAAGTGTCGGTTCAAACACAAGTGTCGGTTCAGCTGGGGCTCCTTCAAGCTGAAGAGTTTGCAAAATCCTAGGAAAGCGATGGGGCCTCCCAAAAGTGGTGCCTTTTTTTGCACGTCGGTTTGTTTAGTTGAAATCAATGTTTACCATCAAAAAAGAGAGCAATTCCTAGCTGAAGTCTAAAGTTGCCCAAAACGCAGGAAGGTGTGGACCCCCCAACGTATATGATTCTATGATGGCATGAGATGAGACAGGGAGTCTTGACAGCCACACATATGGGTTTGCACCATGTGCCATGAAGGGCTCACAGCATGTGTCCAAGAAGAAAGGGTTTGGGCCCAGCTCGAGGCGAGCTTTCAAGAAGGCCAATGCTGCGAAGAGTGAGACTCCAATAAATGAAAAGGAAAAACATGAGGCTCTCCAGACTAACTCAGTTCACGATGACTCGGGTTCCAGGCAGTCCAACCTAAAAGAAGCTTCCCATGTTGAAGACCAAGACGAGTATGAACGAGCTGGTTTGGTGCACGACAGCATGTTCGAGACCTTCGATGTTGAAGGAGTTCAGCGCAAAGTCTTGTTTCTGAAGAATTTAAGTGCTGATAGGATATCCCGGTCTGATGAAAGCCTTTCCAAGCTCGTGGAGGGCTTTGTTCCAAGACTGCCAAAGTTGGTGATCCACCTTTGTATGTCCAAAGGCTTCAATGAACATGTTTGTGCAGTTGAGAAGTTCTCCATCAAGCATCAGTCAGCTGGTTACGTACCGCGACATCCACCCTTTCCATCCGGGACTGTTGTAGTGCCTCTTGAGCCAGACTGGCCAAAAAAGCTCAACAGTGCTTGCAGCGCATTGGGATCTTATTTTGAGGGTCGCGGTGGGAACGCGCAAAGAAAGCTTCAACGCATCATTCGCAAAGCCAACGGAGATATTTTTCCTCTCAATGTCAAGCAGGTCGAGAGCTTAGCTGGGCTTGATAGTTTGAAACTATCAATCAGAGGCAAGGTTCAAGATCTAAAGCTGCAAAAAGATAGGCTCGTGTTCAAAGACAACGAGGAGCGGGGCTTCTTCAAAAACCTTGACACTGAAGCTAATCGTTTGCGCATTGGCGACTACAAGAAGGAGGGGAAAGAAGTGCATTTTAGACCCTTCACGGGGGTCAAAGTTGAGGAAGGGCCGGCTGATGCGAAACAGAAGATTATGAAGTTTGATTGCAGAGACTGGGTGAAACTCATGGATTTGGCAGAGCATTTGAAGGCATTTGACATTGAACTGGTTCCGAACAGCCCTGCTCAAACGCCGCTCGGAGGGCGACTTCCAACGAAAGCAGACTTTCCACTGTCAGTAGAAGTTGTGGGCGAAGAACAACAGAAGAGAGGACGAGATTGCGAAGAACGCTTGGATCGGTTTATGTCAGAAATTGTGCTTCCTCTTGCCATTGAAACGAATGCAATGATCCTTTGCACAGGTCTTAGCCCAATTTGTGCCAGCACCTTAGTAACCAGGATCGCAGAATCACTCCCCTGTCCAACTGTTCCTTCTATGCAGAGTGTGGGAGGGCATCAGTTTGTCTTATACCCTTGATTCTCCGCCTCTTGTAATTTCTGTCGAGTAGAGCACAATCTGGGAGAGCCAAGCAGAACAGGGTACAGTTGAGGAACGCAAAGAAGAAAACATGTTCAGCTTACCTTTGCTGAACTTTTCCACTTTGGTCCATTCTCCTACCCTAAGCTGAGCTGACAATCCGCAACCCTAAAACGTAGCAAAGCAAGGTAAGTACATGTAAGTACGGCGTTTTGTGATGCGAAGAGGCAAAAGTGTGGAAGCAGCGCCTCGTAGAGGGTAGCTAACGCTTTGCAGCTGACTATGCTGAGGCATTGACAGAGTCGCTCCTCAAAGCAGTGTCTACAAGGCAAGAAACGTGGGCAGATCACCCTCCCTTCACCATCATTTGCACAACGGCTCACATGTTTCACTTGTACAGTTCAGAGCGGCAGGACTCCCAGGAAGACCTCTTTTGGCACAAAATCCAGAAGGGCTCAAAAAAAGTGGAAAAGCCGTGATCAATCCATCAGAGACTGTTTCAACAAGAAAGATGGCGCTCAAGCTGGTGCAACGAACACAGCTACGCTGAAACCCCGCAGTTTCGATTTGCACAGCTCATCTTTGAACTATCTCATCGTAGACTCTATCGGTGGTTCAGCAAAAGATGCCGATGAACACCTTGAGGCATATATCCCATATAACAACCTTGTACGAAACCTCGTGAAGCATTTGTGGCAGCGCCTGCCAGTATTTGCTGTAAAGACTGGCGGTGGTGATAGACATACACTTCAAAGTGTACGTGCCAGTGTCGATGCTAGTGCATTGCATTCTACTTTGGAGTTCCTTGTTGCCGGCATGCCTGTCCTTTGGGTGGACGTGCGCCGGAGGAGTTATGTTGGGCCTTCAAAAGGAGAATTGATTTCGATGGAGAGGGCAAATGCTGCGCGGGAAATGCTTCAAAGTGCTAAGGAAGGTTTCGTGAAGGACACCGAACTACTAAAACTTCAACAGCCAAGAGTGGCTGACACTTTGGACGCTTGTGCCATTGCTTACTTTTTGAAGATATTGCAACATGTCCGTGAATTCAGGTCAGCGCACTTGGGCAAGAAGATGAAGTGGACCAAAAATGCTGCATTCGCAGCGCGGAAGATTGGACTGAACGGCCCTGAAGGGATATTTCCTTCTTTGAACTCTTCAACTTCCAGGTTCCCGTGGCCCAAGGCAGCCCAAGGGTCTGAAGGACGTGAAGATGAAGACCGTCAAGGAACATCCTCCAAAGGTGGGGAAGGCCAGCGAGGGTGGAGTTTTCTACGACGCAATCAAGATTTGTTGACGACTTTTGGGAAAAAAAGACGATGAAAAGACCGAAGTACATGCAGCTTCGTCTCCTGACTCTTCCGCGACTTCTCCTGATCCTGGTGTGTCCGTTATGGTTTCAAGTCCAATCAGCCCTGTTGACAGGGCTATCACTGCCGACCTCTCTGCCGCTGACGACATCCTGGGTGGTGACTGGGAAAGCTTTGACATGGAGCTTGATGGCAATCTCGAGACTGTCAGCGAGAGCAATCCAATCAGCGAGAGGCGAAGATACAGAAGATGCAGTGGATGTGGATTGTTTCGATGCTTCCGATATCTCTTTGAAAACGCTCGTAAGCAGTCTACGGATTTGCATGGTTCTTCTGACTCGGAGGAGGGGGACCAAGATCCAAGGCCCAGGAGGGATCTTATTGAGGAAAGTGAGCGAGACTACCGCAGTGAAGTTGCTGCGTGGCTGGCAGAGAAGATGTTTGCAGATGCCCGGTATGTCCTGCAGAACGAAAAAGATGAGCTCCAAAGTGAGTTGAGAGAGGGAGGAGAGCTCAAGAAGCGCCCACAGGAAGTCGATGATGTTTCCTATGAGCAACAAATAGCAGCAATGACTTTTTTGGGTCCGCGAGATTCTGTCTTCTGAGAACTCCTTTTCTGTAAATGTGCACAGCAATTTCTTGAGGGTTCGGAAAGAGGTGATGAGATTGGCAATGTTGAGTAGACTGCCGGATGAAAATGATATCAAAGGCTCTCGCTTGCTGGAGGAAGCATGGAAGGATTACTTTGCAGCAATGAGCATGGCCGATCAATACAAGCTTCTATGTCGAAGACTGTTTTTGCTGCAGCTTCTTTTTGGATTTCTAATGAGTGCTGTGACCGCATTTCGTGCTGACAGACAGATGATGTCCCGTATGGCCCAATTGCATTTTGCTTAGGACTTGCAGCCTCAGCCCTCATTTCATTCATGGACCCTGGGATACTAATACAGGGCTACTATTCACTTGAGGATCCCAACATAGAAAAAAATATATAAAAATATTGAATATAAGGAAACATATGAAAACCTAGGGAAAAATATAAAAAAATACAAAAAAATACAAAAAAAATATTTCAACATATAGCACAAGAGGCCAAGGAAATGTCAAACAATGTATCTCTGTGTCCACCCAATCTGCCCACAATTCTTTTCACTTCCTCTGGTAGACAGTCTTGTCAGGTAGTGATTTAATCACTCCCTGCAATGCTGTGAACAAAGACTCTTCAACTTGACCTGGCTCTTGTGCTGACTTCCCTTCAGGAAGTTCTAGATTCAGATCCATGGCTAGGGACCACTTTGTCCAAGCCCAATGGTGTATTGTCTTCAACTTCTCTTGCCAATCACTTTCTGATTCAGCATTGAAAGACCTTGAACAGCTTTGCTGTTTGTATTGGCCCTCCCAGTGGACAGAACGCTCAGTTTTTCTGAAAGAAACTGTCCACCTGTGGTCATTCTTATTCAATGAGAACCTGAATCCTGGGCCATCCAAGCAACTCAGTACATCTGGAGATGAGTGCAGGTTGGGCCCTCTGGATCTGCTGACTTCCTTAGATTGGAAAAGCAAGTTGTATAATGAAACTGTCCTGTGAATGTCTGTGAAGCTGTTCACCACACACACACAAAAAAAAAAAAACTTCTTTGAACATGCACTGCTTGCTGCTTTTGCATGAACTGCTTTTGGAAGCTCACCAGGAGTTCTTGTGGAAGATGATGATGATGGCTGTGCTTGTTCTGGTGCTAAGCATGGTTCAGAAGAACATGCTGTGTGTTGCTCAGCCTGTGCTACCTCTTGCTTGGGGGAACAGGGCTGCTCAGCCTGTGCTACCTGTTGGTTGGGAGAACTTGGGTGCTCAGCCTGTGCTACCTCTTGGTTGG